ACACACACACACACACACACACACACACACACACACACACACACACACACAGTTAGTATCAGTCTCTCTGACTCCAGACCCGTCACTCAACGTACAATGTTTGTTTGCATTTACCTTCATAAGAGCTGAGTCCTTGTCTGCACAGCCAGCGTTGGAGACGACGTAGAGGTAGCCCTGGTCTGTCCTTGTCACTATGAGGTCATCGATGATCCCTCCTTTCTCAGTGGTGAAGAGGGACAACGTCCCCTTGGGGGTGAGGGAGGAGAGAAGAAGACACAATTAGCAGAAACCTGTTAAAATAGTGGAAACAGAATATCAACATATCAACTCTTGAAGGATGATCATTTATCAGTGTTAAATTGGCAGCTTGATTCCACTTTAACCAAGTGGACTCAAGACTCACTGAGTCGATGCAGGTTCTCAGTGACACACCCCTTCATCTCACCTGGTTGTCCTTAAGTTCTGCAATATCTGCCACCACCAGAGACTCCATGAACTTCACTCTGTCTTTGCCGTGGACTTTGGTCTGACGGGAAAACAAAGGGACAGGATTATATATAGAAACAGGAAAATGTTTCTGTAGTCATGAATTCAAATAAAACTGTCATCTGACTGATTACCATGTTATACTATGATAACATGTCTGTTTATTTGATATTGGAGCTTACATGTATATGCACATGTCTAGACTATAGACTGTATATAAAGATGGCCTGTTCCCCAAAAGTGAAGCAGAGGACTCAAAGGGTCTTGATTGCCCCCCTCCATGTTAGTGAATGGGACATGGACATTGCTACTGTAAATGATGTTGGAGCTACAAGATGGCAGCATTTGTATCTGGGATATTTTAGCATAGTTTTTCTGGTTAGTGGGAGTAAGTGGAGAGGCTTCGTCCATCTTACAGTCTATGGTTCAGAGGTGTATCTGTCTGTGTGTGCCAGTTCACACTTGTCCCACCTGCAGCATGTGGCTGACGTCGAAGATGGAGCAGTGCTCTCTGGTGTGCATGTGGGAGGCGATGTGGCTGTCTTTGTACTGGACAGGCATACTCCAGCCAGCAAACTCCACCATCTTCCCCCCATGTTCTCTGTGGAAGTCAAACAGCTGAGTCTTCTTCAAGGCCGCCTGGGGAAAACACAACACTATGATGAGTGTACAAAATAACAGAAACATTCAAGGTCCAGAGTTTAAATACAGTCAAATAATGACCTCCGTCAAGTTCATAATGTCACCGGAGGATCACTTTAAAACTACAGAACAGATCTCAATAAAACTTGGTGGAAGGATGGACCGTGGGCGTAGAAAGAACCCATTTAATTTTGGGAAGGATCTGGACAAAGGGGCATATCCAGGAATTTCTCATCTCTAACATCGTGATTTTCATCAGTTTTCTAGGGAATAATTCATGTATCCTGGTGAAAGAAATCGGGCACATTAGGGAACTGATATCTATATGACTGTGTGCAATTTTATTTGAATTGATTGAAGTCGCATATTTGACACATACCACCGTCAAGCCCCGTTAGGCCTTTCCAGCTATTCTAGTTTTAATGGTTATAAGTAATAGACATTTGTAAATATGTATCTTTAAGGTGCAGATTTTTTCAAATGTATACAATGATAAAATACTTAAAATGTTAATGTTGGCATAAGTTTTTTTTTAAATGGAATTAGTGCAATTTCATATTTCATATAACTGCAATACTGTTACCCTGTATATAGTTTGTTTATATTGTACAAATGTAAACTTTTAATAGTTACTTGTGTTTATTTAGCATTTTCTACTTATTAACACCTTAACTGGTTGTGTTTTTCACTCTTTGCTGATGTAACACAGTAAATGATAAACTATCTTATCATATCTAATTGATATAATGGTGTCAGTGAATGTTATAACAAGGCAACTCCTATAATTGAAAAAATAACTTCGAAAGGTTTGCTTCCTTAATTGCAAACAAGATACCAATATGTGTATTTCTGTATTATTTAAATTTCCTCTGTAGAGTACAGAGACTTTCTCTTTTGAACATCATGAGGGAATCCAGCATATGTCCTCCCTGATCAGGTCTCTTTCAGTCCCACTGATTAAACTGGTTAATCTATTACAGTGTGTTTTGCAAATATAACTGTGATGAGAGACTTAATAATCACATTTGTTTAATATACAGCTCAGCAGTTTATAGCCCGATTAAAGAGTCAAATGTCCTGTCAGTCAGTTTCCACGCTCATCATGTTCTGTTTTTTTACACCCCAACATCTGACCTTTGAACTAGCCAGTGAAAGGTGCTGGGGCTTATCAGCGTGGCACAAGCAGCAGTGCATTATGGGTTATAGTGTGTCGGCATTCTACATAAGACTCAACCGCATTTGTACCAGAATGCTCAAGTCCAAAGTCGGCTGTCAGAGTCGGAGGGGAGGCTGTGATATGCACACATGCATGCAAACACACACACACACACACACACACACACACACACACACAATGGAGTGTTACAGATTTCAACAATCCACATCAGGACTTTAGTCTTTTCTGCCATTTTACTTTGTGCAACGTTCAGAGATAAAGATCAGCTGATGAATTATGTTCGGCTGACAATTTTTCCACATCCATGAACAACAACAACAGCTTGATAAACTGCAGAAAACATACATTTTAAATCATTGCATACACCCCTGCTGTGTATTTCATTTACCTCATTCGTGAATGAATGAATAGATTTCACTATAGGGTGAGATCACAACACGTTAATTAAGCAGCAGCTCAGACGGAGCTGGCAGTGCTGTAGAGTCAGTCACTCGTGGTTTGAATAAAATCATGGTGCAGCTCAGTGAAGTGAAGCAGGCAGAGCGAGGGAGGGCGGTCTGCTGGGACAGATGCACATTATATCTGCATGAGCTGTGGTGACACACTCCTGTCACACTCTTATTACTGGAATGTAAAACAAAACCAAAAAAGAGGAATTGAGATTATTATTCTGTGGATCTCTGGACTAAAGTTGAAAGAGGAACATAGCTCCTCCAACACTTTCTCCACTTATATCCTAAGTAGCTTTACAGTTTTACAAGTAAAACTTTGAATAAGAGCCTTGGACAAAGCACAAGATCAGCTCATATTAAACCTATTAATGAGGTCAATTATCACACATGATGGTTCAAACTTTTATTGAAAAGAATATATGAGAGAATCAGATAAATATCTTTTGAGAAGGTGTTTATATGCATATAATCTCACCTCAGGACTACACCAAATCATGTTGTACGATATATTGCCCCACAAATTATTAGTAAGTGATATTATCATCATCATTTAGAGACACTTATACCACAGATATTATGATAATATAATGGCATAATAACGCAAGCATTACCATTACGAAGCCCAATGCACTTTTCATTCTAGAGAATATTCAGTCTGACTTTGGAATTCAAAATATTAAAATAAACCCTAATTAAATAAAACGTGTTTAAAATAACCACACAGAACCAAAACAATAAGTAAAACGGACTCTCTGGCTCTGTTACGAGAAAGCTCTGAAATAAATACTGAACATTTGACTGAGTGTGTATGTCACCAGCTCTGAAAACTGGATGGGATGGTTAGATGAGCTGTGGGTTTGTGTTTCCTCTGGGATCGTGTCAGGGCCACGTTTACTGTCAGATCAGTTTGATAATAGAATCATGACAGAACATTTATGGGTGAGGTTGTTGAACATTTCACCACAGAGCAAAGACACGGATCATCTGTTCATATCCTGATCCTCCGGCCAGGAACTCGCTGCAGTCTTTCTTCAGTACTTGGGAGAACTTGCAGCGACAGAAGTAACATTTCACTCCTCTCACCTCTGCACTTGACGCCGGTCTCTGCTGCTGCCTCCTCCCCGCACATCCAAGCCCAGCGACCCGCAGCAAGTCGTCCCGTGAAACCCGCAACGCGAGACCGAAGCCCCCGACCCCGACCAGCCCCCGAGCCCACATGATGCCGCCTGAGTTCCCGCTGAAGAGTCTCACGCTCACTCGGTGCTCCTCACACTGCAACACTTCCGCTGTGTGACTCAATCCGAAGACTCCACACTGTGGATCCTCTGCTCTCCTGACCGAAACACGTGAAGCCACAGCGACTCAAGGGAGGAGCAAAGGCTCATGGGAAATGGAGTCAATGAGTCTGTTTTCGCTGCAGGATGTTAATGCATATAAACACTGACGTTTATTCCTATAAAAGTGAGCTTTATGCCAATAGACTGTGAGATTTATGATTATATCATGTATGGTTTATGATTATAAACTGCATGGTTTATTATCATAGACTGAGGAATTTGTTCCTATAGACTGAGGAGTTTGTGCTTATAGACTGAGGAGTTTATGATTATAGATTGTATGGTTTATGCTTATAGAGTGTAGTTTACACTTACAGACTAGGGTTTATGCATATAATATGTTTTTTTGTACGTACATTGTAGGGTTTATCTAAATAAAAAAATTACTGTTTACGTGCATACAGTAGACTGTAGGTTTTATTGATATAGACCTTATGGTTTATGCGTATAGACTGTAGGGTTTAGACTGTAGGTTTTATACATATAGACTGTATGATTTATGCATATAGACAGCAGGGTTTATGCATACAGACTGCCACAGCTTCTCCAGGGCCACAGACTCTCTAGTCTTGTTTATGCTCATTTTAATTGAAAAAACCCATTTACCCTCGAAAAGAAATAAATTCCAGCTTATCTAATATCTGTCATTAATAAAACTGTGTTAATTTTGCATTTGAATCCATCAAATGAGGTCAGATAAGTGTGTTCCACTTTGACTTTTGTCCCTGATGTATTTGTGTGTGTGTGTTTATCCCTGTATATCCCATCATGCCCTCCACCAGATCATTGAGTCATCCTTTGGTCTGAGAAACTAATAATACCTCCTGTCTCTGCTGCTATTTTGGGCTTTGAGGGCCTGCGGGGTTGGGTGTGTGCGAGAGCATGTTTGTGGGGGTAATGGGGCTAAGAAGACTTCACCTCCCTCTCCATGTCTCTAGCTCTCTCTACCTCTCTCACAGGGCAGCTAGGGTGGGCTAAATTGGAACACAGACACACACGAACATAGCTGGTAGCTGGGGGTGGCACTGGGGGCGTCCTACAGTTGCTCAGTGACACGCAAGGAGTGGGAAGCAAAAACCTGGAGGTTCCATGTGGTTTCACACGCCAAGGATTCTATTGGAATCACTTTTTCATCATTCAATCTGAGTTCAGCTCCCGGATAACGTGTGGATATTTAAATGTCATATTGCAGCTCCTGTTGCTGCAGCTTCTTTTTGGCACTTGAGTGTCGTCCAATGAAAGTGTGAGACTGGGTTAACAAGAGGAGTGCTAGACAAGAACAGACCAGTACAAACATAAAACCGAGCTCTTGTTCTTGGTGACAGAAGGTAAGTCTGAAGAGAATCCAGTTGTTTATCTTGTAATATCTTATAAGATCCAGTCTGTCTACTGTCAGCTCGGCTGTAAATCAATTCATTGATCATCCATTCATTGAGTCGGTTAGTCATTAGGTGCCTGTCCCGTACTTTGGCCCTAATTCAAATTCCAGTAGCATTGTGCCTTTATGTGGTTGACAACCAGCTCTAATAATAGCTCTGATAATCAGCTTCTCATGTAGCCTGTATGTTTTGTCTTCAAATTAAAGGCAAACAGATCCATTCCCCCCCTAATCCCTATACCGACCTACTGCCCTATTTTTATTTCCCACTGAATATTTTCGTATTCCTTACATCCTTTCTCTACCACTGTCTTAGGGAACCCACCATATTCTCTATTAATATTTCTATTAATTACATTGATATGTCTGGATATTTAAGATTTTAGTAACAGGAAACTTGGTTCCGATTAGAATAAGCAATTCCAAAAAATCAAATGGAACTGCATAGTATATTAACACATGATAAACAGCTGCTGTGTCTTCACTAGTCTAAATTTACTTTGCCTCTTGGTCTTGCAGTAGTTTGAAGAAGATACACCTTCCAGATATAGTATTTACTAGAAAAGAGGTGTTGACTAGTTGAGTGCCATCTTGACTCTTGTGATCCATGTCTTCATCCTGAATTTTTCCTCTAGAGGAGGCGAGATGTCCAGGCCTCCTTCTTCACAGACCACCCCTCAGTTCTACAGAGTCAGTGAAAGGGACCTCACTGAGATCGAGCTGCATTCTGTGGACTCCATCAATGATCTCCACCGAACACACCCCGAACACAGCCACAAAGGTACACACAAATACTGTGAACCCAGCCACAAAGGTACACACAAATACTGTGAAC